TTCACACGGGTCGACTATTTCTTTTGGATGTTGAACGTAATTTGACTCGTTCAGTAAAATTAAGGGAACCCAGACCAGACTGTCCTGTATGTGGAAATGATGCAGTGAGAAACGGTGTAGACGGACCCTTAACTAATTATGTTTTATTCTGTGGAACACCCAGTTGTGATAAGGTATTTATCACTTTATTATTATATAATGTTGTTTAAATATCACACAGTAAGTTGCCGTTAATTATCTTACTAGAGGATGATTGTGAGGACGTGTTACTCATCTTGAAAATTGACTCCAATTTAGAACTGCACAGCTCTTAACAGGTCACTGAACAAAGCGTTATCAACAATTTTAAATCAATAAATATTGTGGTCTAGTTTCAATTGGCTCATGATCTCAACTATTATAAAAAATGACTTAAATCGCGTACATCAGTTTGGTATGTCTGAACATTTAATATCTCGATTCCTCCTGCATGGGATGTGTACCTGTCGTACAACATTTTTATTGTATCATTACCAAAGTTTACAAATTTCTACTTTATTCTTACCAGATCACTGAGTCACTTCCCCGATCTTAGCTTTCTTTTTCGGATCAAATTTCCTTGATGCTTTGTGATACAAAAGCAAATGGTGATTAGATTTCAAACCCTTCACTTAATTGAAGCTCAAAATGTTGGATACTATAACTACTATACTATCAACTGAGTGAACCGTACTATGTGCAAAGTTAATCGATCTTATGAATTATTCGTATCACTGCTCTTACATTCACTCACAATCTACAGTTTCACCACTTTTCTTCATAATTCAATGAAAATAAATATTTCTGTCTGATTTTATTCAGGTACCAAAATTAAAGTTAGTCTAGTCCCTGTTATATTGATGGATTGTGATTGTTTTCAAATGTTTGTTTATAATATATTTGTTTTCTAGTTAGGCAGTATATTCCAACATCCAATTTTTTAAATACACATTGAAATTCGATATTAATTGAAGAACAATTTGATATTGAAATTCTTCGTATGAAAGTCTTAAAAATAACACACTTGTATATTGCATTACTTTTTATTTGCAGCCGCGCAATATGAACATGACAATGAACAGTCATCGTATAACAGTTCAAGTAAATACGACACCATTTTGTATCTAACCTTTTTTCCTTTAGCAACTAAAAGGCTATATTGACTCTCAATCACCATATTTGCTTATCGATGTTCGTCCGAAAACTGAATTCGACATATGTCATCTAAAGTCATCTATGCGTAAGTTACACTTGCATATCATATTACTTTTTTATTTTTTGTACAAACGATTTGGTTGCGTGATGTATCCCATTCATTTATTAAAAATATGACCATCCAGTGCTTTCAGGTTTTCAATGGTGGTCTAGCTTAGAATGAATCGTGAATTCAACTGTTAAAAATATTAAAAATACCACAAGCACTAATTTTGTGTGTCACCAAAGTCAAATAAAACCTAATCCCTCACCATCTATAATTGTAACGTCTGCAAATATCAGTTTTTTCCAGGTGAAATGTAAATACTCATTATGGTGTGTTTAATGATTTAAGAATAGACGTAAAGCACCTGGCCACTCAATCATAAAATCTTGAATGATATAATTGCGTGAAATTAAGCTTGATTTGAACTGCTGAACCTGCTAATAGTCTTTAGTATTCAACCAAAAATTACAGGACAGGACATTTTCTATACGGACTAACTTCCTGACGTTCATATAACGTTACGATTTACTGATAATTTCTTTTCCTTTCAGTAAAGATTTAACTCTAGGGATTATTATAATAATTAATTGGCTTTTAATGATTTAACTTGCCATCTATCGGTAAATAATTTATGATAAATACTACTTTTTTTGTAGATGTACCCATAAGTGAGCTTTTTCGTGATTCAGTCATATCAGAAATTCGACAAATGATGGATACCCAAATTAGCAAAGGAGCTACTTTACCTTTTCCTGGTATGCATTGGTTTTGATCAGTACGATTATTGTTGTAAACTTGCTGAATTTGATTTTAAAACAGACCATTATTAGCTTTATTATTTGTATTTATTCTCAGTAAATTAGTAAGGTTTAACCGTTACATATCTTTTTGCTTGCCTGTAGGAGACTTTTATTTGCTACCCTATGAATAAGTGCATATCAGTCGTTAATTCGAGGCTCTCGCCTGTTTATAGACAGAAATTTCAATTGATTAGATTCATGTGATACTTAGATTTCACCTTATTTTCAATCTTTATGCACAGTGCCAGTGATAAATTCATGTAGCAATCTAGGGATAATAAAAAACACACTGGCTTCACACATTCATTATAGTTTATACTAAATTTCCCAGCTTTTGTTCGATGACCGTTGAAAAGTCTTCCACTGCGGTGTTAACTTCAATTGATATTCTACATAGTCTACTTAAATCGTCATAGATACAATAAAGTATTGAAATTAAGAGAATTTCAAATACCTCATCCTAACTATAATTTTTTATTTTGACCATAAAAACATGTCAACAAATGTTTTTTTCAATTTGATTCATTGTTTAAAATTCCCTCCCTCTTTTTTTATCATTCTTTTTGTGATTTCAGTAATTCTCTTGTGCTATCGTGGTAATAAGTCGGCAGAAGCTGCACCACTTTTGAAAAGCGCACTATTATCTCTCCGATGTTCGAATTCTGATCATGATCTAAACGGTAAAGTTAATGATTCCATACAAGAAGAATTAAAGAGTTCTAATACTGAATTTAATCCTAGTGACTTCATAGTTTGTGATGTTGCTGGAGGTCTTTCTGCGTGGTCATTGGAGATCGATCCCAACTTCCCTATATACTGACTCGCTCAAACTGTTATTATTTTTATTAAACTAGGAAATCATTCAAAATTCCAACTAAATTGATATTTCATGTGTACTTATATGAATAAAGTTGGCTTCTACATTTTCTTGGAGTTAACTCTAATATCACCATTATGGCTGTGTATCCATCTGTGAAAGTGTGAGCAAAGTAGGAACTGGAAATATATATATATATATAGTTGATATGAAAGTGCTATGAGCACGGATAATTTTGGATTGAATCTACAATTACCAATACGATTGCGTTATTTTTTAAACCAAGGTTATACATCCAGGTGCTGATTGGCATAATTACTCTCGAATGATATTGTTGTCAATTGATTTCCTTTAGATTGTATGCTTAAAACCTGTATGGTTTACTAGAACTATCTTTTAAAAGTAATTACACTCATCAGTAAACTATGTTACTTCTGAATACCGACTTATATAGTTCTCTTTGATTTGCATCTTATAGGATCTTACCACTTTTATAAAGACAGTAGTTTCATATTTAACTTAGTTTTTGAATAAAAAGTGAACTTTTAAGAGAGGGAAATGTATAAGCCAATGTTCATTTGGATATTTTTACCGTTCCCGTTAAAATTCGATTCCTTCCAATAAAACATAATTACTTACTTACACCTGTTACTCCCAATAGAGCATAGGTCGCCGACCATCATTCTCTAACCCACTCTGTCCTGAGCCTTCCTTTCTAGTCCTATCCAATTGTTCATTTTCCTCATGTCTGTCTCCATTTATCTGCGTAATGTGTTCTTTGGTCTTCCAATTCTCCTTTCGCTTTGCGGATTCCAAGTGAGGGCTTGCCTTGTGACGCAGTTGGGTGCTTTCCTCAATATGTGTCCTATCCACTTCCAGTGCTTCTTCCTCTGCTGTGATCTGGTTTGTTCTTTCCCATAGGTTGTTGCTGATAGTGTTTGGCCAACGGATACGACGCGTTTTGCATAGACAGCTGTTAATAAACACTCGTGTCTTCTTGATGATGGCTTTCGTAATCGTCCAAGTTTCCGCCCCATACAGTAGAACTGTGTTGACATTTGTATCAGAAATTCTGACCTTGATGTTGGCAGTTGACAGTTGTTTTTAGTTCCAGATGATCTTCAGATGTAGATATGCTTCTCTCGCTTTGCCGATCCGCGCTTTCACATCTGCACCAGATCTACCGTGTTCATCAATAATGCTGCCCAAATATGTAAGGGTTTTTACGTCTTCCAAATCTTCTCAACCAAGCGTGATTCGATTGTTGCATGCTGTGTTGTATCGGAGAATCTTGCTTTTTCCTTTGTGTATATTGAGACCTACTGCTGCTGAGGCTGCCGCTACACTGTTCGTCTTCTGCATTTGTTGTTGCGTGTGCAGTAGAAGAGCCAGTTCATCTGCGAAGTCTAGACCGTCCAGCTGCATCATAGCTGTCCACTGTATCCCATGTTTCTCTCCAAATATTGACATCATAATCCAGTCGATCACCAGGAGAAAGAGAAAGGGTGAGAGTAAGCAACCTTGCCTGACACCGGTCTTTAATTCGAACGAGTCTGTCAGCTGTCCTCCATGCACGATTTTGCAGTTTAATCCATCATTGGAATTCCGTATGATATTGACTATCTTTTCAGGCACGCCGTAGTATCGAAGAAGCCTCCATAGTGTTATCCCGTCCACTCTATCAAATGCTTTCTCATAGTTGATGTAGAGTGGTGAATTCCATTCAATTGATTGTTCCACAATGATCCGTAGTGTTGCAAATTGGTTGCAAAATATCATTGGTTCTGTGAAAATCCCCCTAGTAGATTTGAACTTCGTTTATTGTTTATAAACAAATTTTCCTGGCAAACAACACACCATTTTAAACATATCAATATCCCGTAATGTGTTTGTGTGTTATATGAGTTTAAAATCATATCTTCTGTATAAAGGAAGATAAATAATTTATAAAAGCAAATAAACGTAATTGGTTTTATATTCTTGGTATTTAAATTACAATATATGACTAGGGTCTCTCCATGGGAACAACATTTTTAAGCTTCTAATGTGAGTCTTTAATTTGATACTATGTATATACATTAATATCCAACAAAAAAAATTTACAGATTTGTTCCACTACTTTGGAACTCTCTTTTGAAAATGTTAAGTATTTATTTCTCTATCTTTAACCTAAGTCAGGATGAATAACATATTCTTTTGGTTGTCTTTCCAATAAATGTAAATAATGTGACCCAGGGTAGTCGTATTTAGCCGTACTTGATATTCTGTAAGGAGGTAAGTGATGCCAACTGCAATACATCCAGTGATCCCTTCTTTCTTGCTTAGTCAGTAGATCTAAATACTTGAGATGCGTTGAACCATCACTTCGAGAAAACACGGGGTGTGGTGTTTTGTTTTGATCCCGGTTAATGCTGCAGAAAATATTTAAATTTATGCGAAGAATAGCATTATCTCTGTATTATTTAAACGTGCCTAGTTAAAAATACTTGGATGTGAGGACTAAGAACCAAGTGAATATTGTATATCCTGTAATGTGATTATCTTCTATCAGGCCTCAAAAATTCAAAATATGTGTTCCTTTGTCATGTACCTTTATTCACCATATAATTAAAATAGTTCAGTTCATGCAAGGATTTCTTAAAATATACATGATTAACAAAAATATTTTCAGTTTATGCTTAAGAATTCTTAAACCAAATGTTTTTGATCCCGTTACAAAATGTTTGATAATTAGAGCAGAAATGATTTTCCTGGTGTGAAAAATGAGATTACTTTCCACAAAGAATAAAAATGAATTTCATATACAGTATCATTGTTGTGTAAGAAGCTTAATAAACTGAGGAAGTAATAACAAAGCATAAAATAACCATTGCTTTATCTTTCTTAAGGAGACGAAATAAGAATAGTCATTGAAGGTTTGTCAACTCGAAAGGAAAGGATTTGTTCTGATACATCCTGCTCCGAATCATTTTATGTTTACTAGTTAGATTAAGATCCTAGTTCTTGCGAGCCTCAGACGACGTTCATTTTGATTATTTGTAAGAATCCCTATTCTGGTCGTTGGTTATCATGTTCATGGAAAGTACCAAATGGGGTAGGCTTTAGTTCCTCACTCACAGATCTATCGATCACCCATTCCACTATTAAATGAAAAGCGAGCTTTGTTGCCTTAGCTGAATAACATTGCTTGTAACTCGTAATTAATATGTCCGGACTGGCCCAAAGAGAGATATCTAGGTAGAAGCCCGTCCAGACTTGTATTTTTCTCTTACCATATAGCCTTACGACAGTATATAATCTGTACGGCCTTGGCTAACATATCAATTATACTTAATTATAAGTATGGAGATTAAACTCACTGTGAAAAATAGTAACTGTGTATGAAGACTTAGAGGGCTAGTAAATTCGCCAACCCATTCGGAAATCTCGAAAATATTTAGAAAACATGCGTGCACCTGTCTAGATTTTCTCTGATCACAATATATTGACAAATGTTTACTGTAAATTACTTTTACTTTTTTTGTATCTTACCAAAACATGGCACAAATCCATGAAGTCACTGACAAGTGGACTGAGCCATGTTGGCGGTTGTAGACTACCTGGTTGAGACGATAGCAAACGATGGTCAGAGACCTTGAACGACATGACTCAAAATTGTTTGCAATGGCGACGGTGCATCCATTCTTTGTGTTCTTCTGAATTCTTCATCTTTTTTCTCTTTCCAAATTTATTTCAATGGATTATGCTCCTTGAATGACATCTTCAAACCCTAATTTTTCCGATTACTGCTTATGCTTTTACTACCTCTATTACTACGGGATTTGAATCGACAATTGTATCTCTGTGCTAATGTAGTATGGCAAATCGAAATGATGTACTTACGTCGTTGATGACTGACTGAAATATAACTGAGTTTTACCAGCCATCTTCATAGAAGTATTTATTTATTTATTTGAATACATAAATATTGGTACAAAGCGTCACCGAATACATATGCGCCACATTTTGTCATTCGATTTGAGTGAGAGCTGGGATACTGCCCGGGTGTCCAAACCGAAGCAGGTGGTTTTATTAGGGGACCACACCCTGAGCCTTTGACTTAGAGGTCTAGTCCACACGGCGATGGGGCAACGTAAGGAGATTCAGTCCTATGGTAGCCGGTAACTAACAGTTGGTTTATACACCATTGGTTCCTTCAGAATCTTGAAGCCCATGTGCACAATTGGCTTGGAATCAGGGTTTTCCGACTCCGTATCCACCAACCCGGTTAAAGCCGGGACACTCGATTTTCATCCTCTCAGTTTTGTAAACAACACTCCGGCCGCGATAAGGCAGTGAGTAGGACTTCCCTGGCAGTGGCTCTACGCACGTAGCCATATGAGAGCATTTCGATAGGCAGAGCGAACTCCCACTCTCGGCCGTACTAGGGCATTTGGGGGGCATAGAAGTGTTTCAGACTCTTGCTCCGGGTTCTTAAGATTAATTTGAAGTGACATTTAGTCAATATATTTAGTATGTTATTGCATATAATTATTAGATAATATGTTTACCGGTGTTTTATTGTTTGGAGATGTACGTTATTTTACTTATCCTACGTGAAACTATTTGATCATCAAGTCATTTTGTTTTCTGGCAACTGGATAAGATATACAAAGAAATATTAAGAAATCATTTTCATAACTAATAAGCGCATATTAGCATTTGGTTAAACGTTTGAGATTATGAGGACGATAATATTCAGATTGTTCAGTTGATTGGACTTTACTTCGACCTCTTAACAACATTTTGGCTATCCATAAACCGACATATTAGGTAAACTATAATTTGTTTAAGTTGAATGCCAGAAAGGTGCTTGCTGTTATGCACAATAATATTGTTACCGTATGTGTGTTACTTCTTTTTTTTACTCAAAAAATATCACAAGCTAGCTCACTTCTTAACTCGTTTCATAACGATTTGAAATTGAGTATCAGTTAGTTGATCTTGTTCGTTTGTCTCACGGTAGAGCTTGTCTATCAATTCCAATGCAGTTGTGCGCTCTAAATTTAACAAAATATGGGTGAAATGATATAATTGAGTCAGAAATTAATAAGAATAGGATTTATGTGTTCAATGCGTGGAAAATTAAATAAGGGCAAACAGTTTTAATAACCAAAAATTTTCTTCAACTCACAAGGAAACCTAATGCGTTCCACTAAATAAATCAATATTATAGTGTTTCGGACACATTTAACTTTCACTACATAAAGAATTCTATATGACAAATGCTTACTATGACCGTTAAAAACTTGGAATTGAATAAAACCTTTTTAATATTGAACGTATATTTCAAACTATAGATATCAAGTTACTTAAATACTGTTGACAAAACTCCTTTGGTAATTTAATTGTTGTTTTAATTCTATATGATAAAAGAACCATCATCTGATACATAGTAATAAAATACACGTGTATTGAAAATCAAGTTCTGTCAACTAATTTACTTGAACATGCATAGATGTCTGTAGAGATTGTTGTATTTCGCAATTTACATATCGGACTGACTTTGATTAGAAAACCAGGAATCAGTGGATAGCTGTTTCGTTCTGGTATGCGGCTCAGAAGTGCACATCCATGACATTCGGTTTTGGACACAGGACCTTCAAAACTCGTAGCGAGCCCTTAAACTTTAAACAACTGAGCCAACATCCAATGGTTTACATGGCTAATTTCAGCCAATTCACGATGTTTTGCAGCGGTGCTGCATTGCCGTTACTCGCGACGTGGTTGGTTCCATTGGTTACTGCTTCTCACTAAACTCCGGGACTTACCTTTTGAAACTAGTCACTAATGAACACGTGATAAGTGATTGCTGAATTTGTTTACATACGGACACAATGAATTATAGATGAACTCCGCATTAGCTTCCTGTTTTTCATAATCTCAGCAGCAGACCGTCAGGGCTGATATTACTTGCATCTAACTAATGGGACTTAAAGGAAAATGTCAGTAACCTGAGAATCTAACTCAGCTGTTACTATGTCATAATGTATTTCATACTTAGTCTTCGCTTATCCACGCCGCTCACTGGCATGTTTATTTAAGTATTTTCTATTTTTGTACTGAACTAATAGATGCTCAGAAATGTCCCGTCAGGATCCGAAGGCAACTTAAATATAGACTGATGGAAAATCGAACCAGAGATTGTAAAATGTGCCAGGCAAGCTATAGGTAACAGTGGACAGCTTTTAAAAATTACCAAAAAAACATATTAGGTATTCGGGAGATAGGGGAGCTTTCTCTGCTCAAGGTGTGACAGTGATCCACTTTCAACCCTGGATGGTGGAACGATAGACAGAACATCCTGGAAACCAAGTTAAATGCTCTCCAGCTACCATAGAGTTTCCTACTTTTACCAAGAAACCTAAATAGGATATCGACATAACCTCCCCGACTGATGAAGTAGAAAATGTCATATCTGATTTTGATCGGATGAAATCGGTGAGCTCTAATGGATTAACTTCTAAACAATTTAGGGAAGGTATTTCAGATTGTCTGGGATATCACCTACAGCCTCACAACTGAACTTAATCCCATCTAACTTGTCTTGATCGTTGATAACTTCAGTCTGTAAGAATGAAAAAATTCTCTTGTAGTAACTCCAGAGGAATCAGTTTAAGTAACATATTGTCTGAAACGCTGGCCTCAGTAATCATTCAACCCTTAACTAGGGCTCGTGAAGAGCAAACTTGTGGAAAACAAGGTAGTTACAGAACTGGACAAATCTGTGGAGCAAATATTTACCTTTTGGCGGTTTCTGTAAAACAGATACACTTGTAGTAAGCCCATTCAACTACTGCATTATTTATCTGCTCACTGTAATTTAGACAGTTAATCCACTATGTAATTTTCTGTGTGAGTGTGATTGAGCACCTTGTCTGCACATCAATTTTTAATCTATTCTCCCATCGGTTGTAATACACAAACAATCATTAATTTATCCATACTTGATTAATACTCATAAATATGTATGGATTTTTAACACACACTCTTGGTTTCCCTATGTGCTTGCTTCATGAACGTTTTCGGATTTTACCAATCTTTAACAATAAACTTTCTCGATGACAGGTGTTCAGGATTTCGGATAATCTCGAGTAAATCTATAATTCTACTAGGAGATTTAGCCTTCATTAAATACTCAGTTAACGGGATACTATTTATTGGAGTCAGATATAGGGGAAATCAGCCTCTACACACTCTTCAACGTCCCACTATAGTTGTATTCCTTGACCTCAAGGCCGTGTTGCAATCACACTGAGGCATTGACTCCTTGTTTCTCTTCAGATCCTAAGTTTTGAAATAACTCAAATGTTTTTTTATTATTTCACTAATCTGTTTTTTCTCGAACCGTATCTTCGATGTCTAATGTTTTCTATTACCATTAATACTATTTCCACCTGAGATTTGCTGTGACTGACTGATGTAGCAACCTGATATGATGTATATATGTCCCAGGTTCGACGATGCACATGAATGAATTTGTATCACAACTCTACATTGCTGGTGAATTTATAGTCTCATAATTGAAAAATTAGCTGAATATGAGAATATAAACATTTACTGTTCAATATAAAAATAATTTATAAATAATTCTGGCGAAACGCGCATCCTGGATTCCACTGCTAGCCACTATCCATCATTGCTTACAAAGAGCTTGTGAATTAAGGTAATATCGAGGCATACGCACAGTATGCACATATGCCAATAACAGACTGATCAATTGCAGTCTTAAACCTCAATGGGAAGATACAAGCCAAACAATACCAAGTGAATAATTCTTTAGGCTTGTAAACAGGCTCATGAACAACTGAGATATGATTACTAAATGCATGCTTCAAGGTAATTTGCTAAATAAGGCTGTTGCATGTAGTGATTTTTTTTAACCGTCTACTTTTTTTTATAGAATAGATAGATTGTGACTAGCATCGTAATCCAGGACTCAAATTTCATCTGACTTGAGATCAGTTAGTTGTATGTACTTGCGCTGGTGTTTGAAGGGAAGAGTGATGTGTTGGAGTCCATATATGGTCATCAATACTATAGTGCTTATGCATCCATCTGATAAGTTCAAAAGAAGGCTAAACGAACATCCGGGATTTGACTCCCAGCCATGACTTACCTATTCTGTAAAACTTTTTAGGTGACCACATTGAGGTAAGCCGCACAGATTGCATATATGACAATGAAAACTGACCAGAATTCAGCCAAGAATACCAACATCAGAACAGTCCAAACATTTACAAGTTGAAACATTTTACCTTGGTTAAATTATAAATCGTGATGACCCTGTTGTATATGTATTGGTATATTGCAAAGAATAACACTGAGCACTGACAAATATTTGTACGGATACATTTTCAGTTGAAATGATCTGTTTGCGTGGATTGCAAGTTCCTTATAAATAAATTACTTTTCATATTTGCTTTATGCATCTGTATACAAATTCTGTTTAACATTAAATACAAATAATGTACCATGATTGTTACCACAGCTTTTATTCTTTTGCTACTTTGTATGTTCACAGATCAGTCATTTTGATATAGATACGTAGATTATAGAAATCTTTATTTTTCTAGTTTGTAGAATTACTTTAAACTATCAACCTTACTATTAACAAAACGTCCAAAGTTCTCTAATCGTAATAAATTTCGAGTCTTATTTTCAAATTTGAAATCGTAATTTTCCATTTCTTATAATTTAGGGGATGGCTTGTAACTAGAATTTCCAGTGAAATTGTAATCACTTCATTGGACTATACTGAAAATTATTAGTCAAGCCTCACATTTACTACTCTCATACATTTCCTGAAACATAATTATCCACTTACCTAATGGTGAAGCATCTGTTAACCATCTACGAACATATCGTTCAGCCTTTGGTGACATAATAGTGGATATTGGATCTTTTGATGCGAAATCATTACTGGATGTAGAAGTTGTGTTTTTCTGAGTTAGGTTCTCCTTCGAATCAGACTTCTGTGAATTGAAAACATTTATTGCAATGTTACAGAAACTAGCTGATAAGAAATACACTCTAGTTTTATCATCAAATGTAAGTTGGTGGAATATATATCTGCAAAATGTTAACTACAAAGAACTCTGATCACATGATAATCGAAATGGTGTTGAGTAACTGATTAAGTTACAACAGCAGTTTGGATTTAAAAAGTGCTCATCTTTCTAGATGGCTTCATATATGTTACATTCCTTTAAACATTTTACTTTGCTCATCGTTTGGAGACCACTCTTTAGCTGCAGAGACTAATATAAAAATATAGGTTATTGACTTATGAATCTGGAAGAAATAAGTCTATCAATAATGATTCACACTACTGAATGATTAAATACAAAATAATCTCATGGGAAGTGTTGTTGGACTTATCTAATTCTTACTAATTTCTGAAATTTATTTACTATTGTTTGTTAGATGTTGGTTAGAGGTAGTCGACAGGATACCCTGAACCCAGGTTTCGTGCTACTTGGCACTCATCAGCAAGGTGTACCTGTGATCTTGAGGGAACTGGTGCTCCCTGGCGGATTCGACCTCGTGTCACCCAGCTTCATAGTCAGAGGTGTTACCACTGAGCTACCCGAGCCGCGACAACTGTATGACTGAGATGTAATCACAACTGATTGATTACTGGGTGGCGATCAACGTCATGTGTGTCTAGTCTAATCTCACAATAGTGCACGTAGTGTCGAGTCACCTAGGCTGGTGGCCACATTGCAACATTGTCGATAGCATTCGATCTGCACTAATAAGGACTAGACGCGCATGACATTGATCGCCACCCAGTAATCAATCAATTGTGACTATTGTTTGTTGCTGTCACATTATTTTATTTTAAAAATAAGCACTGATATTGTATGGAATAATCATTTTCACCAACCAATATGTAAATGATAAACGACAAAACAACTGATAAGTGAAGTGTTGAATTTATCATGTAAAAATATGTTAGAGGGAGACTCAGACTGTAGCTATCAAGTCTTTAAAAAAAGAGTGTTTGATTTCGGGAGAAGGATAATGTTCTATTTCTAGCCAAATTAGCTTGAAATACAAACCATGTATTAACAATATTCATTACCTTCTTGAATCAATTATTTAATATAATTGGTCTAATAGAAAACAAACACATTTATGATCACTACACTAAATAGTTTTTTTTGAGTTTTTAAAATGTATATTTATATTTTGTATAGTAGTTGTGATCCTTTTGAGATGATACAGAATATTTGCAGTTTTGCAATGTATATTATTTAGGTATTGTATTGACTAAATCATCTGGCTTAAAGAATATAATACCTTCAAAAACATTTTCATTTTAATTAAACAATTTGATAAACTGATTATCTAACCTTTTTTATAGTATGTTCTTCTAGTGTCATCGAAGAATCATCCAATGTTTCCATACATTTCACTAGATTTTTTTTCTTTTGTACCATTGAATCAGCTACAACAACTGTAGAATTAGCTTGTAAATTATCATCTGTTTTCATTGTATTTCTATCGCACTCTTTGTCATGTATATACATCATATGGAAATAGACCAGAGAATTACTTTCGTTTTATGAATATTACTTTTAAGTATTAAACTGAATCCTAGTTACATATTACATAATTAATGAAATGTCATAATAAAATGTTTTGTAAGACATTAACTAATAATTAGGATAACCTTTTAAACTAACAATAATATTTATTTCCATGAATTGGAGACATGGAAACAAGAGTGCTAATTTTTTAAATCAAACATAATGTTTAATAATAGATAACCATTCATTGATGCTTATTTGCTCCAAATCAATACTATTAGTTTATGTATTCAGCATGAGTACATGCATGTGTTTTGAATATCCTCCTCATCCATCTACTCACTAATTTAACGAAATTTGTATGTCCTATTACATAAAGATATAGTTTGTTCTCAAACGATTTTCTCTTTCCAACTGTAATTGATCTAACGTTTTGTTTAAATTCTATTGATACCATACGCCAGTGTAGCATTTCTCATCGTAATTGTTACTTATTTCATGAATAATATCTTAACTTTTTACAAATGACATAGATAATGATAAAATTTAATTACTGTAAAACCCTATTTAAACTGGTTGTTGAAAATTTTTCTCCTAACTGTATTGCTTACTTTGCATGATAAGCGATCGTTGGGTTTTTTTCAACTATCTTAACCTTTCATTGTGAATCCAGTGAATTGCTTAACAGCAAAAGACCTAGTTATAAGTCATGATTTTATTTCGATTTCTTGTTATAGGATTGCTTTTTAGAGAAACCCTTTTTTAACCTTATTGCTCGTTTCTTATCTTTCAATCGATATAAATATTAATTTTATTGTACTTCATTTTCTAAGCTTTCACACAGCAACCTATTTAATTTTAACAATACTGAATGAATTTATCACTGTCCATTCATATGTATGTATGTTTATTTGATCATTGATTTTAATATAGATGTTGTTAAATTTATTCGATGGCTCTGACTAAATCATTGAATGACGTTTAAAAATCTAGAAATCAAAACATGAAATTTATCGACGACCCTGTATTAATAATAATGGCACAATATGTAGTGAATTTACAAACCACAATTCATGATATAGCTATGGCATTTACACGAGTCGATGATTAATCTAAGAGGAAATGCTTTTAAAAATAGTTGCGTGAGAAACAATCATAAAAATGTACAATAAACTAGGTAAAGACTCGTATCAATACAACAATGGTAGTCAGTGATTAGAAATGTGAACTAAAAACATAAAATACGGAAACTGTTAAATATAAACAAATTTCCAGTAAACACATAAGAAACAGAGATAACTGCTAGATGTTACAAGAGCATGAACTCATAATAATAAACATATTAGATGTGATAGTTTAATGTATCTACTCAGAAATACCGCACAACGAGATGTGATATGTTATGTTCTCAAAAATGGTTGACAATCATCAGTTACTGAATATTAGTAAGTAATATATTTAATACACTAAAACAAATAGGATAATATGAAAATGAAAATATGTCCATGTAGAAATCGCGCGTAATAATTTTGACTTACTCACACAATCATCACACTATGTATTTTTTTGATCAATCTCCATAGTAATAAGAACCTGATTTGCTTACAAAATCAGAAAATGTCATGAAATATTTCAGTAAAATAATACAGATATCTATTATTATCGGCTTCGGTTACATTAACGATAATAAGCTGAATGTTTCTTAAAACTAGATGACTAAAAAATCAAACTATATTCCTTACCACAACTGTTAGTCAAATTTGTGCAGTGTGCACTGGTTATAAGTGATACGATTACAATTCATTGCTTGAATATAATATCCATGTCAATTTGTGCGGAGCAAAATTATTGATTAATAATTCTGAGGACATTTTCACACAGCCTTCTTATACATATGCAAAGATATATAACCACACAACCTGATAATTTTTAGAAATTCATGAGTATCTATCTCACTGGATTTTAATGATGATATTATTTTTGGAAAAAAAATACACACAGTTTTGTTAACTACCATACCATACAAAATCATTTTTGATATCCCAAACCGACCTAAGCTAGATATCCACTGAAAACCGGATAGCATTCGATGGCCGTTTTGTCCTAGTACAAGACTCAGCATTGAATGTTCAATACTCATTGGGGGTCGCTGGCAGCTGGACTGTAGTTCCTGGGTCCCATACCAGGGTGAAACAGTTATCCAGCGCTTTCTGGTTTTCAGTGGATATCTAGCTTAGGTCTGTTCGTGGTATCAATAATATTCAGTAATTTCTACAGACCTCCTACACCGATTAAAATCGCTTTAATCTTGCACTAATAGATTATAGATATTTGCTTTTCATCATCCAGTACTTTTTTGAATTCGGATTCATTATAAAAAGTTATTAGAAACAGTATTCAATAAATTGTTTAAAAACTTACCTTTATTCAATGATATCCTAGTTTGTCTTTCCAACAAAGAAGCGGGAACATTCCATTTCATAAAGACCTAACAAAAAATGTTGAATCTTCGACACAAATATATTCAAGAATGATATCTGAGATACGTTTATGGACACACTTTTAATCAATGATAATCAACCATTTTGACGGGAACTTGGGTCTAAAAATAATATTTTTTCTAAGATTTGAAATAAATGAATGTGGTACTGTTCAACAATTTATCACGGTAAAATGTGTACATTTCAAGTGTGACATAAATCTAATTTATGATATATGTAAGCCTATAGCTGGTTGTACTTTAACACTGCATCATTTAATATTACCCTTTTCACTCAAACTCTGATTTAGTTAGTCAATATTAGATTCTGTAACAAATATCAAAATGCAGAGTCTTCAGGAATGTTTTTTGAGTTATATATGAATAAGTTAAATTACAACTGTAAAACAGTACAGTTGATTCATTTATCTCACCAACTACGTCTTATCTCCTTCACAAGTACACTTAAATGTTCGGACAGTTTATTATTTACATTATTGTAAATTAGTGTTGATAGTGATTTTTAATACACACTGAATTCATCTTTCTGGGCAAACTTAGAAAATGTCACATGATAACCTGATAAATGAGCAGATGTTTTAGGGCGTTTTTTGAATATTACAAAAGTGATGTTTTGACTCTATCCTACTATGCTATTGTTTTATAAGTATTTCTTGTCAAACAATTTTGTTTACGCAGTGACACAAGAATCGTAACCGCTGAAAACCTAGTATCGCTGAACAGTTGTTTCACGAAAGTCTGGGACTAGTAATACAAATCATAAGTCAACATAGAATTCGATCTTGGACTTTCAGGTTTCACCTTGTATACGATACTATTCAGCTATTGAGCTTAAAACTTATGAGCGTCATTTCTAACCCCAATTAATTAGTAATATGGCGTCATCTATAGCTGAAAATACACCTGTCATTTTAAATTTGTTCTAGTGGGATATAGATTGGTTCAATGCACGTTCTACACAGGATTGTTGGAGCAGGCTGATTGGTTATTTCCTATGCAATCAGCGCTAGTGGTCACTAAGAGAAGACTCTAGAATCTTATGTAAAAGCTATATATATATACTAACGTTTCTCTTATTGTGATTCCTATTTCCACCTAACTTTTTTATGTAAAATATAATTGCATTCCTATTTAACCGTGTATGAGTTGCTAGGTCGTAATAAAAGAAGTTATAACATTATGTAAATACGAGATTTTTACTCACTTTATCATCATTTATTAATTTCAATTCCTTCACCTTAATATTAATTAAAAAAATATGAATTTATCTTTCAATTTATTGAGTGAAATATATTATTATTATTACATTATATCCGTATACTTGAGTGATCTGAAACTAAATTGATGATCAATTAAAGTATAGAATATTCCCTAAAATCGATTTATATCAAGGCAAATAAACTGTTGTTAGCTGTAGAGACCATGTACTCTAAGTAGTCTAACATTATTCAAATGATTTCATAGGATAGACCTATAACATTTTTGTGTAAGTAATTCTGATTAGAACAAGTCTATAAATGGAGCTACCCTCTACTATGGATAAATAATTGATGGTTAGCATTACAATAAAACTGTTCATCGGGATTTTGATAGAAATGCAGGATTTTAACGGAAGAACATTTGTCGAAGAGAAGCATTCCTACTTTATTTTTATTAGATATATTACTTGTTTAAAGTTACTCCTATTTATAGCGCAACAGAACTTGTACATTATTTGAATAATTAGGTATGAAATATATTACTAATAGTGTTCTATAATAATTACCTCTTAATGAATGAAATTTAAATTCAGTTACATATATCTTTAAATTTAATGGGAATATCAGCATATTTGGCCTTACAGTAGTTACTCTAATTCATATTTCAATTCATAGAAATCCTGCTTATCTAAATTGGCTGAAGTTTAATGGACGTAATAAGGATATTTCCCATCGTTATATACTATAGTTATTCTGATGAAATTAATCATAATAAAGTATGTAATTTACCTTGACGATTTGAGAGAATAGTTGACTTAATTTATAAAAATGATTGAAACATTAATTTTAAGAATAATATTAAAACATGATATGATACTGTCATGATAGTTAATGATAAGTGATATCTTGTACAAGAACTACAATTTTACTTGATGCATATAAACTAGTCATTGAATTTATCATATAAATATACACTTAAGAATAACATCTAATAGACATATTCAGTTGCTTAATAATGTGTAATTTTATACAAAATACGCTTTATATTAGAATTATGAAGTTGAACTGTATTGAAAACATCTTCGTCATTAATTAGACTAAGCTTTATTGTCTTATCTATCAAAAATGATCACTGAGTTGATCATATTGTGTAGTTTTCATTTGATTAGTATCAAAAGGGGTTTTGTGGAGATTGTAGTAATTTCAACAGTTGAGATCATGAATCAACTGAAGCTGGACCACCATGGAAAGCCTGGAAGCACTGGACGGCCGTTTCGTCCTATTGTAGGACTCCTCAGCAGTGCGCATCCACTACCCATCAGTCTCGCGCCAGGCGCTTAACCAACTAGACCACTGAGCCGGCATCCAACGCTGTTAATGTCTAACTTCAACTGGGTTCGAATCCCGCGAAGTGGGGTCGTGGATGCGCACTGCTAAGGAGTCCCACAATAGGACGAAACGACCGTCCAGTGCTTCCAGGTTTT